CTGTTTTCCCCTAACAATTGCAACCGACAAAGAAGGCGTGAGATTTTAAATAAATCTTATCTGTCGGCAGCTAGAAGATTTTCTAGAAATTACAGTGCAACATACTAAACTTCATTAGTATGATTTTTCGTAATAACAAGACTAGTTTTACAAACTTGATCTTTTGAAACAATATTTTCGAGTCTATAACGTTCCTCTTCATTTTTGAAACGAATCCATAGAGACAGAAGCTCAAGATGCACATACCCACTAGGATGTGTCTCAAGAATCTGTTGAATTGTTTGATCCATAGACTCCTTACTCAATCCATCCTTTATAAATGCTATTTTATCTTCTCGATTTTTGGACACGAGCGCCACTGATTTACATTGTGTTACAAGTCCATCGAGCGCATTTGAAACATCCACCTAATCTTTTTGCTCTTCGTTTATTTGCATAAGTACTCTTACCCATACCTGGCATATACTTGTATGAATTTGGAAACTCTCCCGACAATCGAACTTTTGCTTCAATCAACCATCGAATATCGCCTGGAATATCATTAATCATTAGCACCCTCAATCTTTCTATTCGAGACCGATAATTTTTTTTTTTTATGATATGTACTGGAACAAAAGAATAATATTTACGGATATTTGAGAGTGCTAAATCCATTTGTAAATTCGGACCTTTGTTCAGAAATATTGAATGGATTGCTTAATAATTTATAGAAATGATGCGTATGCTATACGACTCTAAAAACAGAGAGTCTGTGCTACAGAAGTAATGATACGCATGTGATACGATTCTGAAATAAATATTGTGGGTCAGAATCTGCACTTGAAGTGCATTTATTGTCGCCGAAAGATGATGTGATATGTTTGTGATAAATAGGTCACAATGAATTATTGTGATATTTACTGATATAAATGATGATGGTTTGAATGATTAACTGATTCTTTGTGATATGAGATACTTTGTTCTCGATTGGTGAAATTATTACTGGCTAAATATTTATGAATCGATTTTTGATCAAACTGAGTACGGAAGGGGTACGATATATATGGGTCCACTATCCCTCCATGTGTGCTACTAGATATTATGGATCCACTAGATAGTCACATGTGTGTGAACCGTAACCTGAAGTTACGATATGATTTGATAAAATAATGTGTATATGACTCGTAACCTGAAGTTACGAGATGATTTGATAAAATAATGTGTATATGACACGTAACCTGAAGTTAAGAGATGGTTTGATCGAAGAATGACACAAGATGGCTGTGAAAGAATGAAAATAAGTGTCATATGAAAGTGATGAACCTAGTAATATAATCAGCTGATATGATGAACTCATGAAAGAAAAATGTGCACATTACAAGTGATATGAGTTCAAAGTCCTCCTATTATATGTTGAAATCGAGAACGAAATAGAGATTATATGAACTCCCCTCAAGAAACTCAATACTGAAAACACAGATCAGGGATCTGTTAAGATGAGAGGAAGAATCAATTATTGAAATTTTGGAAATGATATATGCATCACACTGAAAGTGTGCAAATCATAAACTGAATGATACTGATGGTGGTTAAATATATGAAATGATATGATGATGGAAAGATACGCTGGAAGCGTTGGTATTGTGCAAATTGAAATTCCCCAAATAAGTGATGAAAGGAGACATATATATACTATCGATAAAATTAATTGATAATGAGATATCTCAATATATTACGGGGAATAATGTAAATGAATATGTGTCGATACAGACAAATGAATAGCGCTATATAAATGATATTGATGAGAATGAAATCAACTCAATTGTGAATATTGAGAACTATTTACAGTAAGACCATTGAAATCGATTGATGATGAGAATGAGTTTAAGAATGGAAGTTGCACAAAAGCATGATATGACATATTATCATGAATATCACCAGTATCGGAAAATCTGAATGAATCTATATGATATTCTTGAAAATTATGGCAAAGTTATTATGGTGAATATATGGAATACGCGTTGTACTCTTTTTCCCTTGGCTAAGGTTTTGTCCCATTGGGTTTCCCTAGGAAGGTTTTTAATGAGGCAACATGGATGACGTATTCACATGAATAGTGTACTCTTTTTCCTTCATTAGGATTTTGTCCCACTGGATTTTTCCTAATAAGGTTTTAAGAGACTTATTCATGGTATAATGAGGATTACTGGATTATTGATATGATTCCTCATGATGATATTGGAGTAGCTGTACTCTTTTTCCTTCAATCAAGTTTTTTTCAACTGGGTTTTCTTGACAAGGTTTTAACGAGGCAACACGTGGATACTCCATTAATGATAATCTACTTGAGGGGGAGCAATGTTATGCTTCTACAATGCTCATGTTTTGTCCCACCGAGTTTTTCTGAGAAAGCAATGTTATAATTTCAAGATGATCAGGTTTTGTCCCACCGGGTTTTCCTGATATACTGAAGCACCAGTACCGATGGCTACAAGATACACTTCAAGATATTCAGATTGGGCGTTCTTCAAATCAGTTAAAATATGTTTAGAAATAGTCATTCAAGGGGGAGTGTTGTGAAATATTTATTATAAAATAATATATGTGAATGAATGACTATTTTGCCCTTGATGTAATTGTATTATTACGATTGTGCCATCAGAAGTTTCCTATAAATAAGAGCTTCAGTTATAATGAAAATCGTACCTAAGAGAAACATTTTCTCTATTCTCTCTCTTTCTCTCTAGTTTTATAACATTTCTTATTATGCTCGAGCTAGTGAATATACATAGAGGTTCTCTAAACTCGTTTGGAAGAGTCAGTTAAGAGAGGCCTTAAGGATTGGAATATCTCCAAGGATTTAGCGGTCGATATGAGCGTTTGGAGGCTAGCAATCAACATGCCAGAACTGTGACTTTTGCTCTTTTTTCTTTTGCTCCAATCTCTTCGTTTTGTTTTGAGTCATTTTTATGTTTTTCTTACCATTAGTTCTATTGGGTTTCATGTCTAGCCTACCTCAACTTAGTATTGTCCTCGTCTAAGCTTGTTTTCCTTCGTGAATACAGAGAGAGAGAGAGAGAGAGAGAGAGAGAGAGAGATAGATAGAAACCCAGCAGATCGAAAGCTCCAATCTTTAGTTGGGTTTGATGAGGATCTGAGCTTGATTCTATAGTTTCTTTGTTCGTTTGACAATTGTTGGTGTTAGTTTTTAGTGAAAATATCTATTTTCACCCCGTTTTGAAGTCTTTTTAAGTTTTTCACACCGTCCAATAAAAAACTAAGTTTTTCACCCTAGAAAGTGCGAAGGTTATGCAAAAATTGTCGCATATTCATCACATAATTGTCCATATACGAAGGATATGCGAAAAACTGTCGCATAACTGTCACATATCAATTGCATAATTGTGTAAAGGCATTGTGCGATAAACATGCGACAGTTATGCAATTGATATGCGACAGTTATGCGAAAAACTGTCACATAACTGTCGCATATCAATTGCATAATTGTGCGAAGGCATTGTGCGATGAATATGCGACAGTGATGCAATTGATATGCGACAGTTTTTCGCATAACCTTCACATATGGACAGTTATGCGATGAATATGCGACAATTTTCGCATAACCTTCGCACTTTCTGGGGTGAAAAACTTAGCTTTTTATTGGACGGTGTGAAAAACTTAATGTGTCTTTGTTATGGGGTGAAAAAGATTTTTTCCCTAGTTTTTATTTGTTCTTCATATTTTTTTTTTGGTACAGGGACCTTTCGGTTTCTGGATCCACAGAGAACCGACTAATTCGGAATCGAGCCGGGTAGGACCATAAGGGCGGCAAAGCTCTCCCTCGAGAGTTTTAACACTGCTGCATTCCCAGGGCTCGAACATGAGACCATGCTGGAAGAAACCCAACCGATTCTTCATTTTTTTCTTCTGTCAGTTTCCCTTTTTTTGGGTTGCCTTTTTAATTTCGCATAATTATAAGTTCATATTCAACTGAAGATACCACTGGTCGATTCCATTCATGAGGGATTCTTGAGAGGAGGCGGTTTCAGGATTTGGGTCTGACGTCTCAGGTAATTTTCTTTTGTTTTTTTGTTAATATCAATTATACTGGAAATGTCTACTTTTGTGAGCTCATAAATCTTCTTGTTAAAATGGGTGATTGGATTACTGCAGTTATCTGGCTATCCATTTATCTTTACTTTGCTAAAATGGGTGTTCTGTTTTCATGTTTGATCATCCAGTTATGGTCTGTTTTCCATTTACTAGCATTTGCTCTGCATTTGGCAATTATATTAGAGTTTGGCTTCAAAAACCTCTTCTTTTGGGATTATAATTCTTCATTTGGTGATATACTACAATTTGAAATAGTTCCGTTACCGAGCATGCAATGTTTGTCGGGTCCGCTTGAGCTGGTTCTGTCTCTTACAACTCATAATTTCTTCAGGATTATAGTTCTTCATAATTTCTTGTTTTGGTGATGTTATCTGTAGTTATTATTCGGTGGCCAATTTTAAGTCCAGTCATAGATGTGCATATTGTTCTAACTTTTTTACAATTTGAGATACTATCGTTACTGGATTATGGTACATTTTTTAGCAACTTGACGTGTTTTTGTCTATTACTGCACATGAGGTTAGTTTTGCATCATACTCTATGATTTTGACGAGTAGGGTTCATTTGATCAAACTCGAGTCTCCCAACCCTTGTTGAGTTTTAATTCGCAGAGTTTCTCTATGTACCTGGTTTTCTCATCATATTATGATGCTTTTTATAAAGGCGTCCTTTTCCTTTTCCTTTTATCATCCGAAAGGTATGAAAAATCACAATTGTATTGAACATATGATAAAACGTGATTCTCAATTGGGTAAAGGAACTGTGTCAAGATAAAAACTTGGATAATTGTTATTCTTGCATATAGCAGTGTTTAGTTTTATGTGGACAACTTCTCGTGCTTATAACTCCATTATCCTATTTGAACTTGTAAAAGATGTCTAAAACTATAATCTGTGTGAATTTTCAGAATGGGAACAAAAGTGCATTGCAAGAGCTACGTGCCAGGATATTATTACTCAATGAGGGATCTTAACGAGGATTGTAGCAGTAGTAGTTGGCCGTCTTGTTATGGGGATAAGGCCATGACAAACGGGCAATATCATAACGGGTTTATGCAGAGGACCATAACCGATAGTTATCTAGGGTACGACAAGGACACTTTGAAGCAGAAAATTATTGAACATGAGGCAGTTTTCAGGAGCCAGGTAACTCGTTCTTCTTTTTTTTTTCTTTTTTTTTTTTTCACTGTCCCACACACCTAGCTAGCTGGCTCATGTACCTTTTGTTAAGATCTCAATGTAGGTAGTGATTGTAAATAATTTTGCATTTAGAGGAGGTGACTTTTGGGAGTGTAATTGGATACCACATTAGTATAAAACTATGAAAGTTTATTTGATGTAGAACAGTAAATTAAAATTAGAGTAATTAGTATGTGTAATCTATGAGTGAGTGAATCGGTTTTAAAATGCGATAATGGTTTTAATTTGTAGTACTTTGAAAAGATGAATTGATTTGATTGGTTGCCCAAAAAAAATATAAATGATAATGAATGAATGTTGTTTTTTGTTTTCTTTTTTAGGTTTATGAACTCCATCGTCTTTACCAAGTTCAAAGGGATATGATGCAAGAATTCCAAAGGAAAGAACAGCTCAAATTCCGAGTATCAACCGAGCCATCATCATCCTCAAGCCGTAGAGAATCTCAAGTGCAGTATCAGGATCCTCATAAATGGCACATAGCGAGCTTTCCACTATTGAACTCCAGTCACAAAATGATGTCTCATTCCAGAATGGAAATCGAGCATTCACCAATGAGCTGTACCAAAGGGTACAACACTACGCAGCCCAGTCACTCTCCTTTCCGGAATGTGTCTTCTCCTGAGGAATCCGAGAGGCCCCTGAAGTTGAGGAAGAAATTGTTCGATCTTCAACTCCCTGCAGACGAGTATATTGACCCAGAAGAGAAAGGAGAAGTATCTGACATGTCGTGCCAAGGTGAAATTACGAATCTTTCCCTTGGTGATTGTGGGGGTGTGAAGACTGATTTGCATGGGAATAAGTTGGCCAATCTAAATGAGCCCTTTGAGGTTGAAGAATCTGTGGGTCAGTCTACAGTTGATTTCCTTGATCCTGGTGGAAAGACAAGAGGCGAAAGTCGTCCTGATAAATCGGATGTGTGTTACTTTGATGAAAATGAAGAAACACGACGGGTTTGTCATGAGTTTTCTGTTAGGTCATCTGCTGCAAGTAAGGTTAATGAGAGTGCATGGTTTGCCCATCCATATGAAGCAGGTTAATAACAAAAGTCTTCTTCATGTTGTAGGATTATTAATTACTCAAACCACCTTGAGGTATGACAAAAAAAGAAAAAAAGGAAAATGAGCTAGTAAAAGAAGAGAAGCTAACGTTGAATTTCTGAAGTTCGATTGAGCCTTAAAAATAAGGTAATCCGAAGGGCTTTCGGGATGTTCTTTCGTTTGAAAAAGCTTATTTATAGTAGAATGAATCATAGGAGTACTATACTTCCTTTCTTTTGAATATTCATATTTAGTATGTATCTATTTAATCTATATCTATAATCTATAATCTATATCTATAATCTATCTATAATCTATAATCTATCTATAATCTATCTATATCTATAACTCCCTTAAAAGGATGAGTTATTTCTTGAAAATTTTGAAATGCCCATATTACCCTCTAAAGTTTTACCATTTAAGGACATAAATGTAATAACATAACTTCATTAATATCTCATCCAACCACATTGAAATAAAATCTGAAATGTCACTGCTACCCCCAATAAAAAATGGGCGTTACTATTTACCGCCCCCCTATTACTAGTCACCGCCTCCCTTGGACGATTTTGCCCTTTTCATTTTTTGTGTCCGCAAAGATGTCGAGCAGTTCGGAGGTAAAAAAAAACCGACCGGCCCGTTTTTCCGCACGGAACCGGTGACGTCCGGCCGACCGGACCGGACGGCTTAACACACGTCCGGCCGGTTCGACCGGACAGGACCCTGGCCGTGCGAAAATTATGGCCGTACGGACCGGTCGTTGTACTAACCGACCGGTCGTTCGGCCCACTTGGTGTCCGGCCACGACGGCCGGTTATGGCCCGGTCCGGCCGGTCCGACCGGCCGGACACCATATATTTTTTTTTTTTGTTTTTTTTTTTAATTTTATTATTAA